TTTTTTTTTATTTTAATTATTTTTTTTTTTTTTATTATTTTATTTTAGCACTTAGATTTTATTAGATGTTATATATAGGGCTTGATTCGGGGTTTGACACGCATCCTTTACATGACCCCTATACTGCTGGCCTTGTAAAATACGAGATTTGATCATTGGCGAGTCACTATAGTGACTGGAATTGTTGTCGGAAATGTTGGACAGTTTGGCCCAATGTGTCTCAACTTTGTCTACAAATTTAAGTATGTAGGTAAGCAGCTAAATACAGTATCTAATAGTTACTGTTGTTGTTATTGTAGCTAAGTTACTTTATTTCAAGATATTTAACATTAGCTACATTGATTATATTTTATGATGCCGATGTAAAGACCTTTGCTAATTCACGTCATAGGGAACAAGGGAGTAAAATGAGACAGCCAGTGAAAGGGCATAAGAGAAAGGTGGGAAAGAGAAAATTAAAAAGTATAAAACTTTTCTTCAATGCAAAAAGAAGTACAAGGTCTTCCTGGCCTTAGGGGGGGGGATGACGGATGAAAAATGTAATCTTTTTCTCTTTCTGATTGGGATATGTGTAAAGCTCTGAGGTGGTGTGGTTTAGAGGAAGTAGTTATAATCCCACGCTCAGCAGATCACTGAGAAGCGATGCTGATAGGCCCTGTAAAGGCACCTGAGCTCTGGCTGGGCTAATCTACGGCTCGATTGGAGGATGTACTTAAACTGTCACTCTGGCCTAACCCAGCAGGGAAATTCTCCCTTTCTCCCTCTTTTCTCTCTCCCCGTGGAGGATCATTAGCAAAGAAGGAACACTACACCTCAGAGAGTGGACGGTAATCACATCAGATCACATATCAGATCACATCATCACAACAGCACAGACTCTAGATGCTCGGTAACTCAGCAATAAAAGACTACTTACCTCTCTTTAGGCTACGTGCTAACAGTTTTCCACTACAACTGTCATATTGCCTTGGGTGGGATTGTCTAAACTCTGATTTGCAACGTGCTCAAACACAGCCGTACTGCTCAAAGGAGCGTGATGTTATGTTATTAAGGAAATGCCATTTATGCCTGCGTAGTTTTTACTGTGCCATTGATAATAATACTGCAGGTATAAGCGCTCTTTAAGCCTCTGTATTCGTTACCTGCTAAACCTGTTGCGAGTCACATTACCTTGTCTAATTAATTAGAGCTTTGCAGAAGACTGAAAGGCCAGTGTCTTCTTTCTAGATGGCAGGTGACGGTTTGTATTTTTTTATCTCTGTGGAAGGGAGAGATGATGGGATCGGAGAATGGCAGAAGTGTAGAAGAACAAAAAATATATAAAGCGGCTCAAGCTAATCCCTTTAAGTGAAGCGCAGGTTTGGCCCTAATCGGATGTAATCTACCTGCTTGGCAGCTTTCCAATCAGATAGTTTCAATTATATGGTTGTAGGGGCATTCTGAAGGGGGGAAGTGCTGAGCTGAGCACTTTGAAAGTGATTTGCAGATAACACTGAATGAGTGCGGCAATAGAAACGATTTAGCAGGACTCATTCCCCACCCAACCGCACATAAAAACACGGGCACATGCGAATGTGTGCAAACATGAGCCTTCTGTGACGTTGCGGTAGGGGAGGGGGCTTGGAGTTAAGGTCCAATGTGGTGGTGTATGATAATGTTCAGGCAATTATTTCTTGTGCTGCTTGGCTGCTCCATTCCTTGCTGAATATGAAGTGCAGGGAAGTTGCTCTTCTACAACAGGAATGGAAATAAGAAGTGCATCGAATGTATGGAATGAGTGTAGTCCAGCGTTAGGGAAGTCTAGCAGAAAAACACAAAGGAGAAGAGATGATCCACTTTATAGGGCAGGGGTTTTCGAGCTTGATTCCATGGGCCATCAAATATGATAATCTCTTTTTGAGGGATCTACTGTATATATGAAGGCAGCAATATATTTGTGTGTATAAAATCACATTTATACTGTGTGAAGGAAATATTAGGTGTGATATTATAAAGACATGAATTAAAATTGTAATTACAAAAATGTAATTAATTGGCTTTCATGCTGCCATTGTACTAAAGCAAAATGTTAAAATGTATTATTATTTTATTACTTTTAATTAAACTTATTATTATATATTATTATTAAACTTAGGCCTATTATTTAATTAAACGTATATTAAACTAATTATTGTATACATAAACTTTAAAAAATACAGATAGATAGATCTCAACGTAAAAGTTTTTACTTTTAAATTTTCAGCAGACACTCTGAAAACTTTTTTAGTTTAATGAACTCTTTTAGTTCAAACAGTTAGCATTTGTTTTCAGGTTGCATGCAGGTCCAGGAACAATCGATTTTAGCTTGATATGATGCATGTTTACTGGAATCGTGCTGGAGAGAGTATGTCAGAGTGATAAATAGTCCACATTTGTCATTCAGTAAATCATTTGGCATGCTTAATCCCAGACCCTGGCAAATTGAACACTGTTATGTAACATTCCTAACTTCAGTTGTGATAATTGACTGTCATAAACCTTTAGAGGGAGTAATATACCTACTTGGGGTTCATTTGGGGAACTTTTCTTAGCTGACCATAAAATCCTCCCATATGGATTTACTATTAGCTTTTTTGGCAGGATCCACATTCTGGGACCCTAATGCAATGTTGCTTAGCTCCTCCCCGTTGTCATCCTGGTAAATGGAGTGCTGGAGAGAGTGTCATAGTCCATCTGCATTTACAAAAAAAGACATCAAATACTCCTCCGTACATCTCGCGACGTCCTCCTGAGGATGACCTGGCAACCCGAGTGAGCAGGGAGTTTGCCTCTGCCTCAAACGCCGAACACTTTTAATTACTTTTCACCTCGTCTGTGGAACTTGGGAGCGCAAAGCCCTCTGAAACCTTGTCTCTGAAAGAGACAGATGCAGCCCATGCTAGCTGCAATATAATTAACATGCAATTAACACAAATTAAAAGGCAAATTGCGCAGACGAACCCCCTGTAGATGGCTGCTTAGCGGTGACGATGAGATAATTAGATCCAAACCTGGAGTGCGGAGTCTCGAAAGCTTACCTCTCCTCTCCCTCTCCTGGCCTGGTGTCAACTCCTCCAGAGAAGAGCACTCCAAGCCGCCACGCTCAAGAGCATGGAAGTGCTCCGAATAAAGCCAGAGAGATTATATCGTTCTTGTCGAGAGTGAGTGAGCCGGACTGTGTGTTTTACAAAGCGCTTGTTATGGCGGAACAATTGCCCTCTTTTTAAGCAAAGCGTGCAAGACGAATGCGAAGCAGCCCTGCGATTTCTCTTCATTTTATCACTGTCTGTTACTCGCTGCGCTGCGTACTACATGATGACTTGCATCTGAGAAGACCTAGTCAATATGTGTTTCCATAAAGTAAGCAAATCAAAGCCCTCATCCTTCGCTCCAGCACTTCGTTGGGCAGAGCAAGGATTTGGAGACTCTCAGAGGTCACGCTCCGCCAGTCGGTAATGGGTGAGTCTGCGCCGTCACACCGCTCACCTGTTAGACATGATAGATAGTGCGGCTCTCTCCAGAGCGACTGCAGACAGAGCATGTGAATGACCGATGGCACCGGCGTGATGGATGAGGATGAGGGAGCGGGAAGAGGTGCAGCCCAGGGAGCGGGGGCACCAGGGGGTAATTGCACCTCTGCTTGCCCATCCATCTGCTCGGCTTTCCATCTACCACCATCAGGCAGGGGCTACGGGCCTCCGCTGCTCGCCGACCTCACGCGGCATACACAAGGGGCAGGACGACAGGCTGTGTGGATCCAGAGCCGACCCGTGTGCTTTATCTTAACAGGGCTTGACTGTCTACATAGCTGCAATGATTGATATTGCCAATGTGCTGGTAAACACGGTGTCCTCTCACAGAGACCCCGGAGAGCCCATTGGGAGAGACTGTGCATTAGAGAAGATGAGGAAGTTGTCAGATGGAAAAAGCAGAAGTTGGTGACCCTCGACATTTAATGGTTCATAGGGATTCATTGTTGTTATACTGTATAACCTGTAGCAAGAGTTCAAACTTGCCTTCATTGTTCCCAACTAAGACACAGAGGTGTCTCTTTTATGCACAAAGGTGCTTTTTTAAATTAGAGTAAATGTACATTTTAAGAGAGAGAACCTTCAGTCCTACCCATAAAGGATATTTCACCCAAAAATGAATATTCTGTCATCATTTACTCATATGCATTCCAGACCTGTATGACCTTATTTCTTCTTTAAAGCACACATTTTAAATATTTTAATTGTTTTTCTATAAAGTGAAAGTCTATGTGGTCCAAAACAAATAGTGAACCCCATTGACTTTAATTGTATGGACAAAATAAACACTGAGACATTTTTTTCAAAACAACATAAATATTTTTACTCTTGGGTTTATGTTTTTTTCCCCTGAAAATTGCCTTTGGTAGAGCTCATCATGCTGTAGCTACTGTACAGTTAAAATAAACATTTTTCTTTCAGTAAGGTTGCTTGAATAAATATTAGATAAGCACAAAAGATGTAAAGATGTTTGTCTACGTGGTTTATTATATCTTTCTGTTAATTGCAAAAAAGATACATCTCTGAGACCCATAGAAATATAAAGTCGCTTCTGTCATGTTACTGGTGTAATTTCCCCTGTAAAGACATATGTCCTCTGCAATAATGATTTTGTTCAGTGAGTTAAACTTTAAAATCTCATTTCAGCTGATATTTTATCATGCTATTTTTCACCTTCTCTCTGTAATGAGTGAAAAAATGAACGCCTTGCAGGTCCAAATCTTTTGGATTTGAGTTGGTATTATGTTCTTAGCTGTGTCTACATAATTGCATTTACTTCACCTTTTTCCTCTATTTTTCTCTGTCAGGGTGTTAGCGAAAAGGGATGGAGTGATAGATATCTCATTATATCTTCATTACCTAATACATTATATATTGCTATCTTCTATGATTCATATCTCTTGTGTGTTTTGTGCCTAATGAGGGGGAATTTGTCCAGCCCACTTATTATAATTAACTATGTACATGAAATACAAGAAAGCAGGCTTAGAATGTAAAAAATGATTGAAAAATCTATTCAATAGAGATGCACAGAAATCATGTGTTTTCAGTTTCAGTTTTTAATCTTCAGAATTCACTTTAGTGCTTATTTTATGCATGAAAAGTTTGTTTTCTGCCTTTTAAAAACTTAATACAATCCAAAAACTTAACCATTTCACTATATCTAGTGTGTCAGCTTCCGTGGTGTTTATACTCCATTGACTTCCAGTCCTTTTTAAGTATTTAAGTCTACTGCTATTGTTCATACAATATTTACAATATTTCACTGTTTGTGCTGCAGACCTGAACGATGCCTCAAATCATGCAATTATTTACTTTTGCTTTACTTTTAATGCGCTTGACATTTTTCAGACAAATTTTCACCTTGTCTGCACCGGACACGACAGTTGTCTCGTTGTGCAACTCCGCACCACAGCAGCTTGAGGCTATCTACACTGGACGCGACAAAGCGACCAATGCAAACTATTTGTAGTTCATCATAAATAGAATGAGGCAGCAGTTTACAGTCGGGATTTGTTGTGTCATGTCACGCCGTGCCGCATCCAGTGTAGACAGCATCACTGTTTAGAATGGGATCTATTGTCTTTTGTCGCATAGCGCCGCTCTCGTCCAATGTAGACACAGTGTTACAGATGATAAAATAGGCAAAAATATCCCATAGTCTTACACTGAAGAACCCCAAGCCATTTGTAACTACGAGAATATCATAGAGATTTCATAGGGAAACTACCTAGCAACCCACGAGACACCCTAGCAACCGCATCTTTCTTTCTTTCTTTCTTTTCCTCTTTCATTCTCTCTATCTCTCTACAGTGTGAGTCTGCTCTAGTATACTGCTGTCTATAGGCCCAGCCAAATGTAGCTGCCTTCAGCGCTTCTTTTTTATTGATCCTGCTAAGCCGGAGAAGTTTAGCTGACATCATCTCTTCATCTGTGCTCCCATGTTCTTCTAATTCATTATGTACATGAAGGGCTGCCGCTCGGGTGCTGGCTCACCATAAATTTGTTCTTTACAGAACGGAGCGGGATCTGAGCGGGAATTGGTTTACGGTGAGCGTGAGCGGAATATTAACGGAGCGCTTGCTTGGGCGGTTAGAGCGACTGAGCGGAGCGCACGTCCATAGAGCGGTCACACCGCTCCGCTTCGCTCACATGCTCTGCTCACCATGCTTTTTCCTTCACTGAACATGTCTGCACACAATGGCTGAAAAACAAGACAAATTCTTAAACGAAGAGGAGTCTTATGCATCTGCCAGCCATCGCATCACGTCTGGATTAATTAATAATTCAGTTATGCACTAACCTGATCTTCCCTCAAGGGCATTTTGTTAGATAATATTTTTCTTTATAGATATTGATTTATTATTTCATAGCGTTTCTTTCTGTATTGTTTCATAATATTTGATATGATTGAATTTACAGTCTATAACTTCTCTTCTGATTTATAGGTGTAGATAAACATATTTTTTAATTTTTTTAAAGCAAACAGTTAAACAACTACAAATTTGTTCTGATCTTGGAAACTTGCAATAATGTTTAACAATTAATATTGGCTGTCTGGTGTCTGTTCGGAGTCTGTTCAGATGAGGTCTTGTGAAGCTCAGAGAACAGCAAGAGAATTAGTGAGAATGGGATGAAGGCTGTAGCGTCACGGCTTGTGAGGTGAAAGATGAATGTGTGTCACGGACAGCAGTCCATCCTTGAGCACAGCTGTGTCACTACCATTTCCTCCACATGACGGACAGATGAGCACACCATCTTTACGCTTACTTTCTCTCTCCCTCTTCTGTTCTCCCTCAGGTCTTTATAGGCGTCTGCTCAGTAACTACATTCTCTGGTCTCCCCATGTAGTAGGTTTTTTTTTTCTTTTAAATCTGTATCCACACTTCCTGACAGCTTCCTTAATCTTCACCGCCACATACAAGTGTTAGCAGAGTATAGGGGATTTGTAATATGCCACCAGCATACCCTGGTCTCCCCCTGCTCACCCACCCCCTCACCGCCCAGTAACTGTTGCCCGCTGCACTTTTTCCAGGCTGTGACGGCATTTGAGGTAGGAACTAACAGGGCTGTGCTTGTGTGTCTTTCAGCAAGCGGACGATGTGGTGCAGACAGACGGCTCTCAGCAGCTTCAGCTCCAGCTCCAGCCCTCAGACTCTTCGGAGAAGCAGCAGCCCAAACGGTTACACGTCTCCAACATTCCCTTCCGCTTCCGTGACCCAGACCTCCGGCAAATGTTCGGGGTGAGTCTCAGGCCTTGGCCAGATGGCAGCAGGTTGTATCTCAGAGGAAGGCCTGATCATCAATCATGTTTCAACTCTGACAAGGACATTGATCTTATATGCAACAGTGCAAAACCTCTTTAGATACTGTAGCTGTAGTCTGTTTTTTTCCCTCCTCTAAAATTTGGCATTGGTGGGACTAAACTAGGGCTGTCAATTTAACTTTTTAATTTGAGTTACCTAGTGTGGCAAGTGTAGTCCAATTTCGGAACAAATTAATCTTATGAGACTTATTTTTTTTAACAAAAGAATGCATACAGTGTAACCAGTGTTTTCCGATTCCTAGGTGAATGAATTGTATGAGCCATTTTTTTTAGTAAATCAGAAATATACAGTACACTGCGAGCAGATCTGAGATCAAATTAATCATATGATCAATTTTTTAATGAATTAAAAAAACATACAGTTCAATCAGTGTAGTCTGCTTCCCGAACAAATGACTCTAATGAATCAGTTCATTTTAGTAAATCAAACACATATAGCTTACTACTAACTGTAAGACTTAAATTCTTGTTCATATGACCATGTGTTAAAGATTAGTTAAAGATACCCATTAGCATTTTGCCAGTAGTATTTTATAAAAAATACGTTTTTAAAGTGTTTTGTATATTCATCATTTAATACATAGCTATGGCCAAATATTGGATTGCATTTTTCACCTCTAAAAAGTCATTTGATCCAGAAGCCAGAGACTATTACATTATTACATAATGTCATAAACTATTGTCATACGAAGGCTTTTCTCAGCTAATATTAATGTATTATTTGTGAAAAATTAATGTTATTATATATGATCAATTTGATTAACTAATTGGCATGTTATGTAATTAATTTGATCTAAATTTTAGACACCAAACTTCCATAGTCAGTGGGTAGCACAAATATTTTAACCTAACCAAAGTATTTTCTTATTTTCCACAATTTTCTTTTTATCCCTCCAAGCCTAGAAAGTGCATGACAAAGTGCTAAATGATTTAACTGCATTATATTAGTTTTAGTTTGTGACAAGGAATCAGTAAAAATAGTTTTTTAAAATCAAGGGTATTCAATCAAAAAAGTATTGTCATACTGAAAGCAGCTTCAGGCTCAGTAATGGTTGGTCATTATTTAGCGTTTTATCCGTTATCCATTTAGATGTAAGTACTCTCGGCTAGAATAAAAAAACAAAACTAATGAATGACTTGCAGCTTTCTTTACCCAAAGAACATCTGTGCCTGTCTTTCTAAGACTCAAGTACTCGTACAGTTAAACTCTAGCATACCTTTGAATTAACCGCAGCCAACAAGGGAGTGGCGTTAAACACTGGCAGCTTGTTACTGGAGGCTACAACTGCATTGTAAGGAGGAGAAAAAACATTGTTGGTCCCAGCTTGTTAAAAACCGGAGTCTGTGTTTACAAAGGGCACTGTATAGCAAACAGTAACACTTAAACTGGTGGAGGACTCTGGGTACAGCCTGACTGCTGAGTCTTGAGAACATCTGTTCCTCACGCTCTTTGTTCTCTCTAAGAGTGGCTGTCCTCTCCTCTCTGCTCCTCTCCGTTCTGCCCACCGTTGATGTGATGCGCAGAGAGCCACACAGTGGTCCCACCAGTGGAGACGTAATTAATAGCGCTCCTCACTGTGGTTAAAATCTAGAAGTTTATCCTCATTAGGTTTGTGTTGGCTGACAGCTCTGATGCGAAAACAGGCACATATGTGGCCAAGTGTGTGTATGTTGGTCTGGGGAGACTGCTGCAACTTGCTGTGAAATCTCTCAGGGACCCAGGGGTGCAATTATCCCATGCCATAGATAGACTAGTGGAAGAGGATGCGATGGACAAGCACTGCGCACCTCTAAAGTCCCAAAAAATGTAAGAAAAGGCAAGTCTGAGAGCAGTGACTGAAGCACAAGGGGAGAAGATTTCCATCTAATGAAGGTTTCAGACTCCTTAAACACTTACTCGAGGGGTTTACTGGCTACCCCAAAATCTTTGGTAAAAATATTAGTTTTTAGTGTATTTTTGGTCAAATAAATATCTAATGTAGATATAAAAAAAGATATAAATAATAGATATAAATGATGTAAACATATAACATTAAATTAGGCAGGAGGAAATATCTATAAGGTACCTGTTTTAACATAACTTTAATAACACAAACTGTTTGAGATTTAATTGTGAGCCAATTGCTTCATAGACATTCTCAAGACAGAAGTCCATTTTAAATTAAACCTCCAAATAAATTACTTGTATCTTTCAATGTTAAGTCTTTTGATTATTGTAGATAAACAGACACTCATTACACTCACTTTTAATTCAAGACAGCATTCTAAACCATTTCTGATTTCTCCATTTAGCAGGATGGAAATTCAATTTGGAATAGCTGATTATGAGAACATTTTACGAGTCTTTTTCCTCTTTCAGTACACTGGCTTGGGCCGTAGTCAAACAAAGAGCGACGATTAAAAAGCTCCATTACCCAACCTTATTTGAGCCTCATTTTATAATTAGAAAAAGACATCCAAAGAAATTATACAGATGAGTATGTGGATTTAATGCTAGTGTATGAAATTGGTTTTAAAGCACCACCATGGCGATTCCACGCAGAGGATGCAAAACTGTGCTTGCAAAATCTGACTCCTCCCATAATACTCCCCATGCACTGATGTGAGCGATCCTACACTTCAGTGCATGCAGCATATGTATATACTAGCAATAAAAATGGCCCCCAGCTCTGGGGAAGTTAGTGTTAGATTAAAACAGGTACCTTGTTATTCTGAATTAATAGACCGTTGTTCCCCTCGGTATTTCCCTTAGAGGTTTGAATCTTCTAAAATATTGATCACCCAAGGGAATGCAGAGATTTACCTAGAATCTCGAACAAGAGCAGAAGCCCCATATGGTTTTCTAATGGGTTTATAATGATACCTGCTTGATTTCCAAACAAAACTGTCTTGATGTCACACTACTGACTCGCTTTTTTAACTACTCTCCCTCCGTTTTCACAGCAACGCTGACTCGCTTCAAACGACTCTCATGAAGCGTTTTCCCAACCTATCAAGTGTGTGGACCACCAGCAGTCTCGCACTGTGATCTCCCATTGATCCCAATTTCATGTAGGCCTACACTCTTATTAAAGCTCTCTGCTGCAAGGCAATGGGATGATGGGGTCTATGGTGGCTAGCTGTGATTAGTTCAGTTTTCCAAGGGATGACTACCCTGGGAAATATTTCAGCAATACCATAAGCCAATTAGGGTGGGTAAAAACCATTAGCGTCCACAGACTTTGTTTAGAGCGAATCGTCTGCGGTCGTGAACAGGTTCACACTGAGATGCAAATGCCGGCGTTTGATTCTGGCTCTGGCAGGAGAAAAAAAAGCGTCTTAATTTGAACAAATGGAGGGAATCGTGTCAAGTAGCAGCTGTTCGGGTTTGGCTGTGGAATTTGAATTGGGCTGGAAAAAAACAAGCTCAGTAGATCAAGCAACAGCCGGTCATAATGAACTGCGAGGCGTCACTTTTTTTCCCGCGTGAGATCAGAGCAGCATGCTCAGCCTCCTCCTCACCGCAAACATGCACATGTACAGTCTGCCTCGGGTTCTCCCCATGGCTGGGCGGATGAAAGGCGGCTCTTCTTAACCTTATTAGTGACCCGGGCCTTCAATCAATCCCATTGAGCCGTAGGTGCCTGGAAGGCCCATTTCTTCCCTGTTGTGCTGAAATGAAGCCGATGCGGCCTGCTTGACAGGGTAATTAGTTTTAATGAAATAATACAGCCATTTTAGACAGCAAATAAAACCTGCTTTCATTCCTCCCATTAGGGGAACTTAAGGTTTTGCTTTCATTCCGCCGCATTCCGTAATGATCTCCAAAGCTGGCCACATTAAATGGAACGCTTAAGCACCGTTAACCCTCCGGGGAGCTCTGGGCCGGCCGTCACTCCTCTCCAGCGACCGCCAGAGTGGAAGAGAGAAATGCGAACAGAACCTTTATCACATGTGTCACTTTGTGCGTTTGCTCTAATTGCTGTCCTACGCTTTCATATAAACAGTCATGCTTACTGACACATTTATAGTGGTGCACCCTGCAGCCTCCTGCTTCCATCTAACCAATTATTCAGGCCTGTTCCAAATTACTTCTTTAAGAAGCTGTCTCCTCCTTCGGCTAGAGCAGTGGTGACCTTGCGTTGGCATGCGCTGGCATGTTTATTTATTTATTGAAATAAACCTGCTTGATTCAAGGTCTCGTTGTGGAGCTCCCTAACCAGGATCCTGATTAGCATAAGGCGAGTGAGGTTAACGTGTGTTTCGTGCAGCAAGGGTGGTGTTTATTCTCTAATCAGGCCGCAGTTTCTTCAGGGTTCACCTTTTGGCCACAGGTATGAGCGACGTTCAGTCAAAGGCCAAGAAAGTTTAGGCTTCTTTCCTCGAAGGGCAGCCAGGCTGCAAATCCATATGCGTCTGAAAGAAGATTCCAGACAAAGCCGTATCTCGAAGGGAGTGGTCAATGCCTCATGGCTAATGCTAATTAGAGAATAAAAATGAGAGATTGGGCGTTTCAGAGGGCCGTGAAAATAACAATCAGATAAAACCACAGAACGAAGCGCAAATAGCTAGAAAATAATAACCGAAGTGACAGGTAATTACGAGGATGGTATTCGTCACTGAGATAATAAACAAATATATGGTTTATCATCGGTGATGATGGCTGCTCTATATCCAGTTATCCTTTTTTTAATTGAGTTGGGCATTTTGTGTTAAGTCAAGCCAGAAATACCCTCTCCGGTGGCTTCGGCCAGCTTTTATCGGTCAAAAACACCACAGAAAATAACAAGCCATATCGTGTCATTAAGAGCACTGGTGCATACACAGCAGGGTGCTGCTGTGATCTTTTGAAGTTTGCTCCCATCAGCAGTATGTCCTGCTCATTCCCAGAATCCCGACCCAGCCGAGCGCTTCATGTAGTACAATTGATTAGGCAGCTACAAATAAAAGCCCTCAATTAAATTTACATCGTAGGATCTGAGTTACTTTTTGAAATATATAAAATGTATTTGTAGTTTTTGTGTGTCATGCAAAGTTTATATTTTCTGAATTAATCAATCTTATTGACTGAATCAGTTGAGTGAATGATTAATGTTTTGAACGAATCGAATGAGTGAACAATTCATTTATTTACTTAGAATGTCATGTTTCCTTCCTGAGTGAATCAGTGTTTTTGAACAGTTCATCTGACTTAATGTTATAATTGCATAAATAACATTAAAATCACATAAAATCATCATAATGACAGCCACTTGTTTTATCAAATGAGTCAATTGACTCACTCATAAAGACAGGCTGAATTCAGAACAACATACTCATACTATTTTTGATTCATTTACTCACTCTTAAACATAGTGGTTGCATCTGAATATGCATATTTCTTTACTAATAGTAGGCAAATGTAGTATGCATGTAATCAGTACATGAGTGATTTATTGATTCGCTCATAGAAACAGTCACTTTGTTTTGCTCCTGAATGAATTAGTGTTTTGAATGACTATTAAATAATTCTTACTATTAAATAATATATCTTAATATATTATTGTAGAATTATGTCTACTGTTTCACTAAATATAAAAAAAAAATGTACAGGATACTTTGCAGTGTTTAAATGTTAAATTAGAATTCCACTCCAAACACAAGTTCAGTCAGTTAACGGTGAGGAAAAAGTAGCAAAAGTAACTTAATACTTCATTTTTTTTATAGTGGGAGACAACACAATTAGTTATGTTTTATACTGGGTAATGTTTTAATGCGTTACTTTTAAAGTAACCCATTATTGATGAGTTGTGTTCATCAGTATCATTTCTCTGTCATGGCAAAGGAGATGTGTGAAGGTTTGTCTTGTGTGTTCATAGTGAAAGCCGTGGGTTTACTATTTTAGCTTTCTGTGCAATCAAGTGCTCAAGTTTCCTGACAAACTGCAGAAGAGATGAGTTCTAATTACTCCTTCTCTCTCCCTCTCTGTCTTTCTTTCTTTCTCCCCTGTCTCTCCTCTTTTCTTTTTTTTCCTACCCATCTCCTTTTCTCTCCACAGCAATTTGGAAAAATTTTGGATGTGGAAATTATTTTTAACGAGCGGGGCTCTAAGGTAAGTCAGCTGGAAGAGCAGTTCTTTGTCACTTCATACTTCTTCCTCCCTACAGGTCTCCTCTTCCCTTCATGAGCTGAATAATTACAGCTCTTACACAGCAGCCGCAAAGTGACTCAAACGTCACACTCTCACACTCGCTCATACTGAGCCGAGACACGTTTTGGAACGGTAGCTACGCCGAGAGACAACTGAGCAGTTTCAGCTGAGAATTCGCCCAGTTATATAATTCAGAGAAGTGAACGTCTTACCAACACGCAGTGATTCTGCTCTTAGAGCTGTCCCACTGTAATAAGATTCAGCTGTGTAACTCTCTAGTCTTGTGCTAGAAAACGGGTTATATATAGCCATACTTCCATACAGCGCTGCTGGTCTCAAAGGACGGTGACATTTTGCTGAGGAGAACTTCTCTCACCTCCTCCTAGGTGAGACACAGGGGTGAATCTGCTGGAACAAACCGTCACAGTGTACTCAACCTTAGCAACGCACATTATAAGATCAGCCGATTGTTCACAAATAACCTGTTTCCTACTGGCCTTTTGAATTCCTACGCAGTGGCTCTGTTTCAAAATCTAGTGAGCTGCCTACATAGGGAGGCTTGATTCACAATGGATTCCAGCAGATTAGCACTTTGATATGATAATATGCATAAAATCACATTGCACATTCAATTATTGGGGAAAATAATCAACTTTTAAATACACTAAAGTACTTTTTACTGATTCCTTTCAGTATTGAATAACATGTTTTAATTTTTAAAATAGAAAAAATTTGAATATTATGTGTAATTATAATTGACTATAAATATATTTATGTATATATAATATATAAATATATAATATTAAGTTTTGCACAATAGAATACTAAAAAGTATTCAAAATAAAATAATATATATTTATATTAATTATAATTGTAATATATATATATATTATATTATTTTGAATACTTTTTAGTATTCTATTGTGCAAAACTTAATATTATATATTTATATATTATATATAATATATAAATATATAATATTAAGTTTTGCACAATAGAATACTAAAAAGTATTCAAAATAAAATAATATATATTTATATTAATTATAATTGTAATATATATATATATTATATTATTTTGAATACTTTTTAGTATTCTATTGTGCAAAACTTAATATTATATATTTATATATTATATATAATATATAAATATATAATATTAAGTTTTGCACAATAGAATACTAAAAAGTATTCAAAATAAAATAATATATATTTATATTAATTATAATTGTAATATATATATATATTATATTATTTTGAATACTTTTTAGTATTCTATTGTGCAAAACTTAATATTATATATTTATATATTATATATAATATATAAATATATAATATTAAGTTTTGCACAATAGAATACTAAAAAGTATTCAAAATAAAATAATATATATTTATATTAATTATAATTGTAATATATATATATATTATATTATTTTGAATACTTTTTAGTATTCTATTGTGCAAAACTTAATATTATATATTTATATATTATATATAATATATAAATATATAATATTAAGTTTTGCACAATAGAATACTAAAAAGTATTCAAAATAAAATAATATATATTTATATTAATTATAATTGTAATATATATATATATTATATTATTTTGAATACTTTTTAGTATTCTATTGTGCAAAACTTAATATTATATATTTATATATTATATATAATATATAAATATATAATATTAAGTTTTGCACAATAGAATACTAAAAAGTATTCAAAATAAAATAATATATATTTATATTAATTATAATTGTAATATATATATATATTATATTATTTTGAATACTTTTTAGTATTCTATTGTGCAAAACTTAATATTATATATTTATATATTATATATAATATATTAAAGTATTTGGAATAAACACTGCATTTATGTAATTATACTGTAAGGTATATAGACATGTGCAGAGTTTTTATATTTATTTATGTATTAATGCATTTAATTATTTACATTTATATAAAATCTATTGATATTTGTCCAAAAACAAGGTATCTTAGCAAGCATCATAATTAAGTTGCCTGCCTTTTGGAACATCATCTGCACCTATGATCCCTTACTATACTGCCTCTGTAGGCAGCTCACTATAGGTATTAGAACAGAGCAAGTACTGTATGTTTGTGTTATTTATATGAGACAGTGGCTCACCATTCTAGCTGTGTAAGCTAATTAAATCCCTGATAAAAGGGGAAAACTACAAGCGCTATGTTGAACACGGTAGTGCAAAATGTCAAAAGGATTAATTTTGCTGCCCATTCCTTTTTGATTTTTCTGTTTCCTCGTGGACCAAGGACAACTGGACTGATCTTTATTCATGCCAGACACAAGGAATGGAGTGTCCATGTATGCATATCATAATCACAGGCCTCCCAAAGCAATTACCAGGCCGTACTTGCGAAGTGTGTATGAACTAAAAGACCAGGGCTTGTTCCACGCTCTTGTTTGCTGTGCATACCTAATAGCTGTTCCGGATATGGCGTTTGGGTTGCAGTTGGCCATAACTCACGGCTGACAGCGGAGGTGGGGGTGCGGGAACAGAGCAGGCGCTTCCCAGCTAGAGTGCAGGATTGTGTGCATTAAACCTCTGAGCTCCTATATGGCCTTGGAAACATTCCTTACATTAGTTGATATCATTTAAAGACAAGGGCAACGTCTGTAATTTATAAAGAGTTAGTTTTATGCTTACTGGTGTTCTTGGCAAGACAGATATGAGATGCACTAATGTACATATGCATGCATGCCAAATGTTTCAATATTAAGATATGCAGAATTTGTCACTGCTGAATATAATCCTAGATTGCTGTGTCTCTTTTCTTGTAGTTCTTACCCTAAAGTAGGGCTGCACGATAAATCGTATTTTAATCGGGATCATGATTTCTGCTTTTACTCGATTCGTTAAGCATATTCATCTGCGATAATTGCCAGCCATTTTTTTAAACCCTGAAAACGTTTAATTTTAATTTGGCATTTGCGTCATTTTGCATTGGTAACAAGCCTCTAAAAGCTTAGATGGTTGTGGTTGCCAGACTTCATGCATTTAAATCCCCCAGTCAAAGATTTTTTTCATAAATCAATATATTTTCTGACCAGTGGTTCAACCATGTGACATTACAGAAAAAGCGCTGATAAGCTGAAAACACAGGCGAAAAATTTAATTTGGAGTTTAGTGATCTCTGTTGAGATATTCTGCTCAAGTGTTATACAACCAGTCTGACATCTTTCACGCGGTCATTTGCTGCGAGTAAATCTGCAAGCAAACCATGCGAGTTGACATTGTCTTGATTTGTGCTTTTGTGAAAGTGCATTAATTCTGATGAAATGTAAAAAAGAAATGAATAAAACCATAAAAATTGTGATTAATAAACAACATTTTATTTTTGAGCAAAACAATCGTGACAATTACTGTGCAGCCCTACCCTATAGTCCTAATTTCACCTCTTACTAATGGATAGAATTTGCAACCCTGCTGACTGTGACCTCCTTCTCTTTCTTCCTCTTTCTTCTTTTCACGCTCACTTTATTCGTTGCCCATTAAAATATCTTCAACCACCCCTTCATCCTCTATTGGGAATCCTCTGTTCACATCATCTCAGGGTTTTGGTTTTGTAACTTTTGAAACAAGCGCAGGTGCAGACCACGCACGGGAGAAATTAAACGGTACAATCGTAGAGGGACGCAAAATTGAGGTGCTTTCCTGATCTAACTATCAATACCCCACCATCCCCATCCCATGAGAACATAAGCGCTGTCGGTTTGATGGAACGTGCTTGCACCGTTTCATTTCACCGCATTGCATCTCAAACGCTCACTTGCTGTGTGCATGCTGCATGTTTCATGTGTCTTTTTGGTTTTGTGGATAAACATTACTTGTGACATACGTGATAATTATTGTGTGTTTGATGTGCATGCCATCAGATTTATGCCTTTTTGCTTTGATGTGTATGTGCAACTGTAAGAAGCTTTTGAACTTTTTTATCATAATTTACAGTGTGTTTTAACCGATGCTCCATCTCTAAAAATATACATTTTATTTTCATTTCAAGATATCAAAGGCCTGTCAACGTGACTTTAAATCCCACTTGTTTATCCTAAACAGCCGAGGTTTATTTCTTCTTTTACATGTCTTACTTGAGGACACAGTCTCTTTTTCTCTCTCTCTTTTTTCCCCTCTTCTCCACAAGGCTATTAAGATTTTATATAGGACAATTAAGATAATTCATGTAATGCACAAACAATACCTAGACCTATATATCAAGGGAGAGTCGAGGCCAGTTGTTTCCTCAAGCTAAATGACCTCCATGGGCCCTGTGGAACGGAAAGCTATTAACGCTAATTAACATGAGGGTGAAATACTAACATGGCTTCTGTTGCCAACGGCCATGTTTAAATTCCTTTGGTGCCTCCCAACAAGCTGCTTGGTCTCGCTGTGTGTTACTAAAGTCCCTTTAAGGCAAGTCAGTTTGCTCGGCAGCCATCTTGGTAACATCCCCGAGCAGCTATTTTCTGTGTAGGCAGCAGGCATCCAAGTACAGCTTCTATTTTCTTGGGAAAGGGAAAGGCCAAGAGCTCTGTGAAGATTATATGTTAATGATATAATAAAATCACCAATAAAAATATATCTATTTTTTTCAGGCTGGTTCAGCTTAAGTGCATGTGCAAATATACCAGCCGCCATATTAAGCGTTATTTTTTGGTGTTACATGTAACCGGAGGCGCTTTGTACAATGTGGCTCCTCCTTCCTGAGGTTAAATTTAGTGCTCATGAAGCCGTCGCCTCAGGGTTGTAGTGTCTGGGAATATGCAGAACTGTCTAGACAATGTGGCAGATTAAATTGCGGAGAAGGCCTCAAGGAAGCTCCCTCAGCTTGGCTAGTGGGGAATTCCAATATACTCTGGGTTTCATTAAAGCCCATTTCCAGAGTTGCTCTGTTTCATTACATGTTGAACCAGATGTCATCATCCAGCTCTTCTACAAACAGCCTGGATTAGATCCTACATCCAGCAGGAAAACAGAAGATCAGAGCTTGATGGATCACTTTCATTTTTAGCATCTCATAATTTTTCAACTGATAATTAGAGCATGTGAATGTTGTTGTTTTTTTATACTTTGCGGAGAAGCATGAACCAGATTTTGTCACACTCATGTCTGTGGCATATGTGCCTGTATTCTTTGTGTTTTGTTTCTCATATCTACTCTTTCTTCACAGGTAAATAATGCAACGGCACGAGTAATGACAAACAAAAAAGTGGCCAACCCATATACAAACGGTAAGAGCTTTTGTTTTTCACTGTAAAAACATTCAGTGGCCCCAAATGTATACGTAAAATGTATTCATTTAATTACATTATATACATTAGAAACTATTTAAAAAATAAAAATAAATAAATAATAAAAACTTATCCCTAACCCTAATTTCTAATATTTAAAAAAAATAATTTAAAACCCATTTCTATATATTTTTTAGAAATAATTATATAAAATTATAATTATAATGTTTTTTTATTTATTTTAAACACAATTCTTTCCTACTCCTATTTTTTTTTTTTTTTAAACATCTTTTGTTAAATGTTTTGTTTGATTAATGTGGGCTTTTTTTAATTAATCCCGCTTGTTTTCGTATTTAACTGTGAATAATAACTATGAACACAACCATAAATTCTCATTCTTTATCTTCATTTTGGTCAAAGATCAAATTTTATAATAATTGAAAACCCAATTTTGTATATATTTTTAGAAGTTAACATATAAAATTATACTTATATATATATATATATATATATACTTGTTTTTCTTTGTGTGTGTGTGTATGTGTATATATATATATATATATATATATATATATATACACAC